TTCAGAAGTTTATAATGAAATGTATTATGAGTTTTATCATGTAAAGTTTGTTCAATTTACCTATTGCGGGTGTACAGGTTTCATTGTTTTTCATTTGTTCTGAGAGATTTGTTTGGTATCTGCTTAACCAATCCTTTTGAGCAACTTCCTCAGTGGGTGCCATGGATAGTCACGGTGACTTTCATGCGACAATTGAGGGTATTTTAAATCAATTTCAACAATATAACCCTAGTCCGAATCGTCATGGGTTGCTAAAAATTCCTCTATTGACATGGAGTTCTCATCTTCGTTTTTTTAATTATTTTTTTCATTTCTAACTCCGATTGTCTCGAAATGGCGTGCAAGCAGTTTGTGAGTTTGCATTACTCCGCCATATAAGTTGTATGTAGTATCTTCGCTCGCATTAAATGTTTCGTTCAATTGCCTGTTGTTTTCAGTGAACTGTCGTTTTTCAAAGATTGATGCAGTTCCACCTCGCATCATTTTTTTCAACCATGTCTGAATGATCTCGATCCGTTAGCAATTCAACATCAGCTTTACATACCCACTTGAAAGCGTCACCAGCTAAATTAGAAGCGGTGAAATGATGAGCACAATCAAGGCCATATATTTCATAGCTGATAGAGCGAAATTCCTCAAAGACACAGGCTAGGAGCAATGTGTCACATGACAAATATAAGTCATGATAGTCGCCCATGTTCTGACAAATATTATGATTGAAAACTTCCTTTGTTTCAATCAAGTCATCAGCATTAATAGCAACTTTATCTCCGTCTAAACTATTCACCCACATTTTGAGAGGCGGTAACTCTTTTTCGTCAAACTTTTTAAGGATAGAATTCTTTTCTACGTATCAGAGTTCTACAAGTTTGGCTTACGTTTTGAATGTGGTTTTCCAGAAGTGTAAATATATTGTCAGGCAACTTGTCAACTAACTTTTGTAGTGACGAGTTTAGAAACTTGAAAGAATCCATAAAACAAAGATATTCATAAATGTTTTGTGTGGTTCGATTTTTCGTGTACTGGTTTTAACCACTACTACGATAATTAGTGAAATATATTTCTCGTCGGTGGATGGAATGACTTGTATTGTACTACGCGAGTCACATTCGTTGAGAGCTAGACATATATGAAGCATGTCATTATTCTGCAAATTGTATCCAACGACTAGAATTTAATTTATTTTTCTTCGCGCTAAGTTACATTTGTCGTGGGTCCATCCTTGAATTTTTCCCGAAGAGTGACAGTGATCCAGGCATTTTTCTTCGCTTTCCTTGAAGTTTTCTTTACAGATCCAACAGGTTAAAGTTTCTTCTTTACACAGTTGGCTACGATCTCCCAAATAATGTGGCAATTTCCGTTTATAGATAATAAACGTCTCGGGCTTATAGATGTAACTCTTTACTAAATTTTTTTAAACAATTTTCAGAGCTGTCAAGGCTAAAGAAAAATGGTTCTGATTCAACCATGGTTCTGGTTCAACCATGGAAAAATGGTTCTGGTTCAACCATTGAATACCCGGAAAGCTTATGTTTTTCTAGAACGCGAGATGAGGAAATTTGTGGGTTGTTCATACATGTTTTAACGGGACTTAGGAACGATTCGAAGTCAAAATAAATAAAAATAGGTGCATACCAGAGAGCTTGAAAGTTTTTAAATTTATACTTGTGGCACCCCTTTTCGGCTGTCGGAATTATCATTACAGCTGGTTCATGATCTTTACATAATCGCTCATGCGTTTTATGATCAATTTCATTGTAATAATTTGAAAACAGTTACGGCACAACTGCAGGAAACTTCGTAATTTTTGCTTCCGAACTTCGCAAACAAATCGGAGCAGGTCTTTTATCAAAACAAAGTGGTGCATTCCGGGTTCATATAACAAAAGCAGATCCATGATAAAATTATCCGAACTTGCAAACTTTGAGACAATCATTGGAATGAGATCTCCATTTTGATATTGAAATACGTTTACTTGAAGGTTATTAAGTCGCGCGAATTGAGGAATCATGTTCAAGCTCATAGGCATAACGAAATCATCATAAGCCTGATGCGTTCCAGGCTTTGTATAGGTGTGTCGATCTGTCTCTTCAAGTTTAGCATCAACTAACTTCCCGACAATTAGATCAGGCTTATATCTATGATGATAGGCGGCAATGTAGCATAACAAAAAGCAATTGTGATCACTGTGATTACGAATGTTAATCAATTGTTGCGAATTTGCTAATTTTGCAGGGAGAGGTATAAGCGAAGAGCCTCTGATTGGTAACATTTTTCCGATTTTATTGAAAAGCTCATTTACTTTCTGCAGAACCCAGTCGCTACCATGGGCTGAAAAAATCTGGAACATAGCTTCTATTTTTTAAACATTTCGAGAAATAATTCATCAGACAAACCGTTTGCATATATGGGCGTCATCATAGAATTAGCGAAAATTTCAACGCGTTTGTCTTCAGGTTGTTGCACGCTTTGTTCCGAAACAACAGTAGCATGCTTGATTAAAGTAGTTGATTGTATTTTGAAGGGTCCATTACAAGTTCTATCTAATATCAAACTTTGAATCTCTTTTTTTTTCAAGGTCATAAATTCGATAAGATCATGTTCAATATTTTGGTTGGGAATAATAAAAGTCATTAACGTATTTTTCATGGCTGATTCATGAACTTCAATTGCAGCTGGAAAGTTATCAATATCGCTTGCCTGTGTGGTTGAGCTAGAAGGGTTGCTGAGTGATGTAAGTTGTTGATCCATAACAGATAGCCCATGCTTTAATTGCAAGTGATCCTTGAAATCTTTAAGTTCACAAAAACCAAGCCGACAATACCGATATGAATTTTGATTATTTTTTTGATGATCTGATTCAATATTCTGCTGTAATTTTGATAGCAGTAAACTGATCAATTTTCAATGGTAGCAAGTAAAAACGGGTAATCGTTCATGACGAGATCTATTCGTTTTTAATGTAAAAATTTTAGGACAACAGTTACACTTGAAACCCATTTCGCTCAGAAACTGTTTTAAAGCGAAGCGAGAAAGGGAATGAGTCCCAACTAATTACCAAAAGTTTTACATTACTGCAGCTAGCTTCGATTCCTTTTCCCTTCTCGGTTTGAATTTGAATCGCTTTTCCCGCTTAACTTTGAAATTGAACTCTTTTCCCGCCAAAATTTGATTTAGAATGAAATCTAAACAAAAACGTCTAAAAAGCATAACAAATACATACAAACAGAAATGTTAAAAAAACATTTTAGAAGGAAGTATTTTATTAAAAAGAAGTTAAATGCCGTTAGTAAGCAAACTTTTCAAAATTATAAATTTTGATCAAGTCGACAACATTTGAACATGTTCAAATAATTTTTCCCGCCAAAATTTGTATTGTAGTTGTTTTCCCGCCAAAAACACATAAAATCAAACTAGATATGCTTCCAATTTTTTAAAAACTTTCAATTGCTCTGTAATAAGAAAACCCACAACAGCAAAAAAAAAACGTATAAGAATATTGTGAAATCAATTATTACTTTTTCTGTTATCATTAAGATATATGTTAATTTCAAAAAGATTTAATCAACCAGTTTTTTTTCCACTAAAACTCACCCATTTCTTTGATTAACCCAAAAAAATATCTCATAAAAATGTTTTTTTTTGGCTTAAAACGTTGATCTCCACAAAACTTTGCAATACAGGTTCTGCCCCCTAGTTAAAACATGCGGCGTAGCTCACTGAGAGCAGCAATATCAGTGGTCCGAAGATTATATTCGGACCGTGTATTAAAAGTTAGAAAATTGGTACAGGATGAGGGTTTTCCAAAAAGAAATGTCTGTATCTCTTCAGTGGATGGTCTGAACAAAGTCGTGCAATATATCAAAGTACTGCTCCCGACCAGTTAATTAATTTAGTTCAGATGTCTAAAGACTATAGTACCTCAAGTTTAGGAAATAAAAATTTGGAACATTTTTCCGAGATTCAAAAATTCAAGTTCTTTTTTGTATTTTGATTGAAGACTTGTCAATAATTCGGTTATAAAATGACTTATTAGGCTCTCCTTTTCCTAGCTACTTGATAAGTAAAGCATAACGAAGCAAAGAAATTTAATTAAAAAAATGTTTATACATGAAGACATCAAATGAAAGCTATTAAATATCAATCTGAGTTTCAATTTTAAATCTTTAAACACAAAAAAAAACCAATTTAAAATCAAACAAACGCAACCACAGTTTCAAAGTTAAGTAAGATCTAAATACTCCTGAGCTTTTTCTAGTATTTTTTTCGCTTTTTCTTTGGTGCAAGGCATAGAGAAGGAGTCAAAATTTCCATGTGATTACTCACTGTCGCTTCGGGGGTGCGCGTTGGAGTTGAAGAATCTGGTTCATCAAGCCATGGTGACACTATAGGAGAAGGATCAACTTTGGGGGTAACTATTAATGGTGACTCAATATGTTCGATTCCCCATAAACGATCAAGAAATTCAATTTCTTCAAAGTATTGTAACTGGTTTTCACACATTGGAGTAACATCACAATCGTAATTACACAAAATTTTTTTTACTGGTTTTGATAAAGTTGAAATGTCAACCTGAAGAGCAAGAGGCTAGTCAGGATCCAAATTTTTACCAGAATTTGTAAATAACTCAAATACTTTATATTCACTTCTTCGTCTTCCTTTGATCTTTTTAAAGTAAGTTTACTGAAAGAATGTAAAACAGTTTTGGGAATCATAATGTGATTTGTACAAGTCCACTCATCAGAATTTAAACTTTTTTCTTCGTTAATTATTGCTACAAAATCAAAATAAACGGTTTCATAAAAATTGGTTCTATCATGATTGGAATATCCGGCAATAAAAGAACAAGGCATTTTTGATGAAAAGTTGGAAGAAAACGACAAACGTAATGCGGAAAAAAAAGAAACTGAAATGAATTGTGAAAACTCCTCAAAAGATTAAAATAGGGATCGGTTCTTCGAAAATTAGAAATTTTAAGACCTCCGATGAAGTTTTTATCAATTTAATAAGGGAGGGCGTGTAAAAGTTTTATGTTACCTTGCGTGGTATTCTGTGTTTATCTTATTTGCATTCAAACAAATAGCTTGATTAGTAGAAGAGTGAGGCGATCAGGGGGGAGTGGTGGGTGACTCCATGTTTTAAAATAGGGAATAGAGCCTCCGGTCACCCATCTGTGTATTAACATTGGGTATTATTTCTACAATGTTTTAAGATAGGGAATAGGTTTACTATGTATTAAGATGGTAAGGTTTCAGATGATAAGTTTCAGAAAAATTTTTGTCGCTCGATCTTACCATGTATAGTGTTTAGATTTCCCATGTATTAGGATAGATTTCCCATGTATATCTCTATGTTTAAGGGTTAGAAGATTATTGTCTTAACATAAAGAATAGGTTTCCCAACATATTAAGATAGGGAATGGTAAGGTTTCAGTGTGATCGTAAGAAAATGGTAAGAAAAACGGTATTTTATGGATTTTGTGCGGATATGTCTAGTTTTTTCGCAAAAATCTTGGCATGCGTTATGTATTTTTTGTGTATTACGTGTACATTGTGTGATGAAGGTAGTATGTTTTTGGTTCATGGTAAGTCAATGGTAAGATGGGCAAGAATTTGGATTTTTTATCAAAAAAAATGAAATTTTTTCAAACAATTTCAAAACACGATTGACTGTTGCATTAGGCCTGCAAGATTGGCCTTGATTAAATAATAACAATACATAACAGATTATTAATAATGATAATCTCCAAGGTTACTGTGGCAACAGTACTACGCAGTACCACAGTGTATTTGCTGCCTAGCGCGGAGCTGAATCAGATGCTGACCCTGGTGGTAGCGATTAAATCGGAGATGCCTTGCGAGCCGGAGTTATTGTTGTTTGGGGGAATGAACGACCACTTGCATGCGGCAGGATTACCAGAGCACCTGAAAGGGGAGGCGCCAACGCCTAAGAAGATCTGGGAAGCGATCCAGACGTTGTTCGCTGCAATGAATGAGGTGCAGGAGTCGGTGGCTTCTAGATTTGGACCCAGGACGAGAGTGGCATTCACGACATCCCCGGACTACGCGAGTATGCCACCCGCTTTACAGTTCGTGTATGCCATGTTGATCTTGATAGCGGAAGGGAACGCGTGGCGGGTACTGATAGCTGCCCCTAATCGCGAGCTAGAGCCGACAAACTTGAGGCTTCTGAAGTCGGAGCTAGCGGCGGCATGGGCTGATGTGTCTCATGCTTTAAGGGGATTCTATGAGCTGACGGATATCCTCATAGTACTGGACGAGGTCCGCCTGCTTGAGATTTCGAACCTAGCTTGGCATTTCAAGTTCAATCCAGAAATCACGGACGATCACCCGAAAATAAACCACTTGACAGCGAGTCTATGGTTTCGAGGCATGGATTTGACAATCACGAGCTCCATCAGCAAGGCGAGGGTACCGAACAACGAGAGAAAGAACGTGGCCGCGGCCGAGAAACAATTGGAAGCGCTGGCATACCGTCTGACGCGAGAGAGAGGCAGGTGGCCGTTCCTGACACCAAGGCTTGAGAATGCCACGGACAAGACGCGGGAGAGTGCACCAATCCTCATCAAGCAGATATGGCAGTTTCTTGAGGGGCAAATGGATGTGGCAGAGAGCAGGGACATGACAGTAGGAAGATTTGTCACAGCGACGAATGAAGTCACTGTTGGGGGTTTCTGAAGGGAACACGCGAAGGGTGATCTGAAGACGAGGAAGGATCACGAGATCTTGATTTCTTGAGCCCTTGTTGGGAGAAGAGGTACATGGCTAGAGTGTTCTATGCGAAAGATACCATCTTCGACGCGTTCGTGCAGGTACTGCTGAACATGCCCATAAATCTCTTGTTGGCCTTATACTTCATCTACCCCAGGTATCTTTTCAACATGGCTCCCGCCTACATGTTTAGTAGAGGTGTGGAAACACTACGAATTAACGCAAATTTGACACTAGTACTCTTGAGCTACGGAGAACTGACCGCATTTTATCGATTGATGAAATATGGAGAGCCTCTGTCGATGGGGAAGACTCATCCCAGCACGGAAACCTACTCGTACAAGTGCACGGCCGGACTGAGGACGCTGATGGTGGAGTACCTCTTGATGCAGAACCGATACCTGACGGGCGAGTAGAAGAATTCTAAGACGAAGGAGGAATTGAAGGAGGCAAATGGAAGCATGCCTCTCTTGACGGATCTGTGTCTAGCCATGAGATCTGACCCACTAGGGATGATCAGGGGACTTGGTGAGGTAGTGACCTGCATCTATGGGCCGGTTGGCACATACGCCCCGTCCTGAATCGCTTGTGGCGGCGTACCGAAACTCAGTGGTGCACGTGAGCCTAATAAGTGTGCTAGAGGAAACTGTGCTAAACTGGTGCAGACAGGAGGAATTGAGGGCACGGATGAGCGACACGGTGCTCTTCGGGACAGTGAAGGATCCCGAGCCGATGGTATTCAATTTCCGGGGACAGTTACAGTGCAGAATGGGGGAAAAGTGCGGGTCCCATAGAGGTCTACCCCAAATTCTGGAATTTGAATCCCCTGGCAGCGGATAAGCAAGAGATCTTGAGAATCCCGGCACGGAAAGGAAGTTTTGACCTGGTGAAAAGAGAGCTAGAGATGATACTTGAGCGAGAGGTTCTGCCCACCACTGTCCCAAAGTTCCGATAGTCAGAAGAATGACACTGGGGATTAATAGCCCGTTGGTGGTCCCATCCCTACACGCGAGAGCCACGGTAGAGAAGCAACAGAAGGAATTCACAGACGGTTGGGATCCCTTTTTCATTGGGTACACAGCCGCAGTTTATTTTCACACGTGCGACATCAAAATAAACTCGTGGACGACCCAAGCGAAGAGGATGAGAGGTTCGATGCCCCTGAAGTTCGAGGTTCGGGATATCTTGGCGACGCTTGAAAAGGCTAAGCTGGAGAATATGCTGCCAGTTTGGGACGATGGAAGAATGATTGTGGAGGAAGGACACATAGCCTTGAAAGATGAAATGAAGTTCGAAACGAGGGAATAGCGAGCACCCTACGGGCTGGAGTGATTGGAGATGAAACAAGAGGAAAGGCGCTAGATGCAGCAGGGCCCTTATATGTGGCCCTCACTGAATACAAGAAGCAGGACCCAGCTACACCCTAACCCCTATCAGTGGGCATCCCTGGAGATAAGAGAAGCGGTCCCGTGGAAAGTAGGTTTAGAGACGTACTTGAGAGGAGGCGAGCTTAGTCAGAAGGGGAGAGCATGGATGAGACTCTCAGTGAAGCAGGAGAAGAAATGGAGGTGGGAATACGCCTGAGCAGAAACCAGCTGAGAAGGATTTCACCACTCAGGAACTGCTGCAGGACTTGAGTGGAGACGATTGGGCGGACACGGCCACATCACCCCTGACATCATCCTTCCGCAAAAACCTGGAACTACCCTTGCCCAGCGAAAGCTAAATTATGGGAATGATCCTCTTGAGTGCCAAAAAAAAGTAGGAAGAATACCTTCGAGGGCAGTAAATGGATGTTCCTGATTACTCTGAATGAGATGGTGTGGCGAGATTTCTTGAGTGAGTTTAATCAGAAAACAGAAACAGAAGCTACACTGGAGAGTTTCATAGAAGAATTCTGGGACTCGGTGGTAAAGTTCGGGGAACCAGTTTTGATGGGCACCGGAGTGGACAAAAAGGCGAGAAGGGAGTTGTTGAGCAAGATGATCAAGCTGCGAGAAACGAAGCAGAAGACCAAAGATGATGAATGTAAAGACAGCTCTACTCTGAAACAAAAAACTGATGATAATATGATTAAGGTTGAAAGGGAGGATAAGCTTTAGACTAGTAATATGATTAAAGATATTAAAAACCTTAAGGCTCGAGAAGGGGGAGGCAAGAGTCGGAAGGTAAGGACCACGACAAAGAGGTCGAATCAGTGATGATAGCGACGACGCCCCCAAGCAAAGGTGTGAGGTCTCGAAAGAGGAAAAGGGAGGTAGAAGAGTCGAATAGTCCCTCGACGGACGCGGTCTCTGAGAAGAATCTGAGGGAGACGGCCCCCATGATTCTATTGCGATAGAAGACAGCGGCCAACAAGAGTTGCTCCGAACCAAGGAAGCTGACCGAGGTGGTGAAAGAGATGGAGGCCTCGACGAGTCTGGCAACGGAAGAAGACTTCACACCTCAGAAGGCGAGCACAAAAAGGGGATCGACGAGTGGACAAACGTGGGAGGCAGACGTTGGCAAAGAATGGGTCTCGAGCGAGCATCTGGGTATTGGGAAACAATTAACCAGCCATCCTCTGGAGAAGAATGCGACGAGAAACACCGCTTGACTTTGGTGGGTGGCTCTGGAAGCAATTAAGGAACTGGAGGACTGCCTGAAGAAACTCGATCGTGGAGTGTCCCGCAAGCGTCACAATTGGGATACTCAACTAAAAGCCGAGATTAACAGGTTAGAATTGGGGAGCCAGCTGAAACGAACTTGGCAAAACTTACTGCGGGATTACTTTAAAGAGGCGATGAGAACACCTTCCTCCACGTTGCCATTGATGGCAAATCCCATCGTTAGGACAGCGGGGCAGCTGATGTTCGCATGGAGCCTAGTGGCAAGAGACTTAGAAATATTGACCTCACACGATAAGTTGAAGCTGGGCAATAAGAGTCTAGAGGTTTATCAGATGCTGGTACAGAGAGATAATTCCGGTTTGAGTCTAGCAAGGAGGAAAGATGCTACTTGTTTCTTGAGGTGGATAATGTCCGTAAAGACCGACAGTACCGTCCAAGCGTTTCAGCAGAAAGCAGTGGGAAGTAAGACGATGGAAAGAAGAATTTCCACGGTCATCTTGAACGTATACCAGAGTACCGGGATCGAGAAGGAGGACGGCTTCAGGCAATCTCTAGAAAATCATCTAAACTTGATGAAATACGAAGAGGGACATGATGTGCATCGTAACTTGGTCTCGGCTGAAGATTACTCGAGACCCAACAAACGGGGAGAATACCAATATGTATCTGGAGTAATGGGGATAGCATACAACTTTTCTTGGATTCAAAGGCCGGGAGCGCTCACAGGAATCACGAAGTGACGGAGCTGTTAAAATTTTGGACAGAGAAGATAGTCAATATTGATTCAATGGAAAGGGAGAAACCGAGCCTAGGCGTGATACTCGAGAGAATGCCAAAGGTGGTAAGCGTACCGCGCTTAAACAAGAGGGTGGAATTGAAGATGGGGAAAGGAAATGGCATGCTGATTACGAATTTGGGAACGGTTTGGAAGTTGCTGAGACCCTCCTGGTGCCCACATCCCCACGCAAGCTACCTCAGAGTAAAGAGTCGGGCGAGGCAATGAGTAAGCTAGGATCAGTAAAGAAGATGGAACCCAGTAGTTGTCTTGACTTGACATGCGGAGGCAGAGAGCACACTTGTGATGGACGATCATGTGTCAGAATACAGTCTTTCCAGAGAGAAGACCTAGTCGCTTGGTTTGGCGACGTAACAGAAAGAGAGAAGAGTGAAGTGCAGATAGTGGCAGAGTGCTACACAAACACTACGGTGAATATGGCAACAGCGCTGGGGTTCTTCTCAAGGATGTGCAGTTTACAATCACTGGAGATGCTGGAGTCTGAGCACCTTTTGGTGACAGCATTGAGCGTGGAGTCATGGCCTGGGGTGTTGCAAACAACCCAGAAGCACATCAGAGGGTGGAGGGTTGGTCTTGAGGCGAAAATGGGATTTCCCCTGAGCGAAGTCTACGTTCTGCCAAAAAATGCAAAAACCTTGGTGGATCAGTAATGGCCAACCTATGTGGAAGCCACTATCCATTACACATGGCGAGAGGTGTCCAGCCAGAGGATATTAGTAGACAAGGCCTTCTCGGTACCCAAGTGCGTACGACTGGCTCGAATGTCGCACCATTCACACAGATTGTTGAGGAAGATCCTGGGGAATCTACCAAGAGAACAAAGAGATGACTTGAGTGAAATCCGGGGAGAAGAACTCTTGAGTTTGGAATGCGAAATCACGAGTGACTTGGAGAGACAGAACACAATCGGGAAGCCGATGAATAGTGCCCCAGCCCAGGAGGAGACTGATATGACAAATGAGAAGATGATGGAATTGGAGCCTCTGCTGGAAGCTTTGGCAGAGCGCAACCTCCGGAGCATCGATATTACCCATGGGGAATTCCCATGCCATTGTCTGGCACAGACGTTGTGGTAACCGAATCACGCGAATCTCTGCTTTGTATGGGACGTTGAGGAGATTCGGTCAATCGGATTACCCGATCATCGGCAGAAGGCGACCATCTTGGTAATGGGCACAATGTTGGCGTTGCGATGGATCGAGGAGAACGTGACGAAAAATCGGGAGTCAAAGACACCGACAGCGGAATCGATATATGCTATTGATTATAGCAGAAGACTTGAGTTGTTTGAGACTGCGTGCAAGGTATTCGCCGTACCGATGGAGGTCAGGCACGTATGGAGCCGCATAAGGTTCTTCCCGTGGTTTCGAGCGACACTGACATCTTGGTTGTATATGGTGACGAAGGATTATATGAAGAAACATCAGAAAGAATATCGGCAGTTCCTGGCGGAGATAGGGCCGGAAGCCTTCAGGAGACCTTTGCTGACCCACCGAAATGCGATCACGACGGGTTGGAAAAGAGTCTGTAGGGTGTCTAGAGATAATACCAAGGCGAGGGAATCGATACTGGAGGAGGACTTGGCGAAGAACGTGAGCCTGAGCCTGCACAATTCCTTTTGTTTGAACAGGGAGTCGAGAGTGAAGGGTTTGCCAAACCAGGCAAAGAGGTTGCATGAGCAGAGGGAGTGGATGCAACCCTTCGAACAACTAAAAGCGTGGGAAGAGATCGTAATCAGCTCCGATGATGAGGAAGCGCTGCTAAGGCATATCACATTGTCAAACAAGTCAGGGCCTAGCACCTCAAAGACCAGGAAAAAGAAGGTAGCAGGGAGCTCAGTGAAGGTTTCTTGAGTCTTGAGAGGGTAAAAAAGGGGCTCGAGTGTGAACTCGGAGGAAATCTGAGGTCACGAAAAAGAAATCTTAAGGAAACGAATATTAAAATGCTATATTTATTATATAAATCAAAATGCTGTATGACAATTTTCTGATTGGAAAAGACAAAAGAATATTTAATCATTAGCTTGCAAAGCGGAAACTTAAGGTGCAGGTGTATGCATATTTTGATTGCTGTTCAGCGATAGTGTGACAATTTTGCATGGTTGTGATTGTTGGGATGTAGATAAAGTTAAATCTGCTGCAAACTTCAATAAATGACCACTGGCACTGTATCTTGAGCAAAACTCAACAATCCGGGGATTCACTGGCAGACGGCATCACGCGATGAGGACATCGATCTTGAGTCCGAAGAGTATGTGCCAGTCGGTCATATTTGGAAGTTTGATCTTGAACATTACGAACAACGTGATTTTGGGGCAAATTCAGAAACACAAGATCAGAATAATCGAACTACATTCGCGGGAAAGTGGTCAAAAAAAGCAGCGGGAAATTGCTATTTGCCATTTCGAGACATAATATCACACTAGAGTAGAGCTGTCTTATCCTGAAATAGGAGACAGAACGATTACGAGAAGAGAAGATATTAATTAGAAGTGGACTAGAGTGAACCTTCGGTGGAAAGCTGGACAACAGAAGTCTCACAATGGTCCAGCCCAAAAACTTATTTCTCAAATCAAACCTCATTTCCTTTGCTGGAATTCATTAGTTACAAACTTCTTGAGTTAAAACTTAATTCCCTTTAATGCTAGAGATGCTGATTAACCTAGTTACTCCAATTCTCGAGTGTGTTGGTTTGTGAGTACCCAATTTAGTTTTCTTGATTGTGTTTTATAATTTTTATAATGAGGTAAGAAGAGTTTTAGGTTGATCCATCTGAAATGGATCAAAGGTCCACTGTCTAATAAAAAGTTACTATACGGACTGTTCCGACCCTGTTTCTAACTGCGTTTGCGTATTTTGGGTATTTTGAAACCTAAGTATGGGGACGTTCTTATTTTCTAGAGTGGGGTGGTATTTTGGTAGTGGCCTTTAAGCTGTAACGAGGGTTTTAGTCTCATGTCGCAAGTGAACCGAAATGGCTCCGAACGTTCGAGGTAGAAAAACAGAAGAGATAGTGTCCCTGACTCTTGAGCCAATGGTTATAGGGCCTACTTTTCTTTAACCTCATTTGTGACTTAAGTAGGCGACTGTTACATAGTGAGACCCAGCCATTACCTCACTATTTTTGCATATAATTAAGTTAATTAGAGCGTTCTGATCGAAGCCGGAAACAGTAACGATTTTTGTCAACCCGATGTTAGAAAGACCATCAAAAGAACTGGCTTTTCCAGAGACGGTGAAAAGCATGTAGAGCTGTGTTTAGACGCTGGCCAGTCGTTTTAGAACCTAGCTTTATTTTCCGTCGATATGTACTTCTGGGCGAATGTTACATATTTTGGATTATTTATGTCTTTTCTCGATTTTGATTGGTTCATACAGTATTTGTCTAAATACTGACGAGTATGAATACGCGGTTGTCTAAATACAGGCTGCACTCCAAGTATATGATAGACCCGTAGCCGCATATCAGGTCAGTCTTTTTGAGTCACTTTCATCTCCGGTTCATTCTTTGCAGGTAATAGTTTCCTCAATCTGGTTGGCTTGATTCCCAACCATCTGACTCTCTTACTTCTATCCACATTATATATTACTCTTCCATATCCAGAAAATTCCGAGGATTTTGACTGGATAATGTGATGAAGGGACTCCTGACTGTAACCTGGGTTACTATGATACTTTTGACCTTCTGATTATATAGATTTGTTACTTCCCGTCATTATAGGACAGTTTGCAGGACGGTCATTTCTCTATAACGATTTCGTAAACTCTCTGACTGCTATTTCAGACAGAAATGACAAGTTTGTTGTCTTCTTGTCCGTACCCTCCTGATGACTACCATGAACGAGTTGGACATGGTTCCAAAACGTTGCGTCCAGATTATTATGTTCAACCCAAAATTCGAGGTGCAGGGGCTAAAATACATCAAATGCACAAAGGCAGCGTTGGTTTGATGTTTGGCCTAGACAAACATCAAATAGCTACTGGTTTTAAGTCTCATACGAACAAAAATCATATGGCAATGAACGTAAATAAAATGAGAGAGTTGCAGAAAAAGAACAAGGAGGCCAGTACCCAAAGAGAACAATCGCAAAGCTATAGAGAACCTATTCGACCCATGACGACTAATCCAAAGTATGGAAGTATTCAATCGAAAGTCAAGCAAAATTTGGAAAGTTCAGTTGCACCTGAGAAGAAGAACATTAATTTTCTCAGAGGACACTCGAGGCCAGCCAGCGCGCCTGTTAAAAAGGCCGCATCGGAATCTGACCTTAGTCTTGATTTACAAGAGCGTCCAAACTTTGTACAAATGAACGCTCAACATTTGTCTTCTCTAAACAAAACGAATCCTAAATCTTACCAGGCTCTCGTTTCCAAGCGAGAAAAAGAGGAACAACGAGAACAATCTATTCAACAGCGGAAAGGAAAAGTGCCGAAATATCTAGCTGAAAGAAAACAGCAATGGCAAAAGGAACATGAAATGGAGTTGGCCTGTCAACCAGATCCAGAAATGCCTCCTGGTCACCGTAAGATGTCCGAAGCAGAACGGCAAAAGACGTTGCGTGAGCTGCAGGAATCACGAAAAGAGTTGTTAGCCGAGCTCCAACGGCTTCCGATTGCTATAAGGAGTCAGAAAGCCATTCAAAGAAAACAAGAAATTGAATCGAAACTTGCATCTGCCGAAGAGGCTATCCAAATTTTCGCTCGCCCCAAAGTGTTTGTAAAAATAGACCAATAATAAATGTCAAAAAATTTGATAAAAATTAATTCAACCAGTTAAAAATGTAAATATGTATATATCATTAGATTGAATTCGGTAACCCATAATTTTTTCAAATACTTCAGCTTAGATTTACATGTATCCCAAGTCTGTGCCATTGTTTTTGCATCTTACACAGGTAACTTTTGATCTATAGGCTTGTCAGCCTAGGTCGATCAGCTCCTTCTTTGGACGTCCAATTCCTCTTTCGAGAAAAGATAAATTGTACAAATCGTTTCCAATATTTTCATGCAGCCTCGATTTGAACAAGTTGAAACGAACGCGGGAAATTACAGACTCTGGTAGTGAATTCTAGGCGTTTATGGCTATAGCAAAGAAGTAAGTTCTTATACAAGTTCGTGACTTTCTGGTTATCCATTTGCACGGGTTACCCCGAGTTTCGTTCCTTTACTGTAAGCATTCTTTCATTTGCTGTTACATCGGAGACATAGCTTATAATAATAATAATAATATGAATTTAGCGTACGCAAGGGGTTTCCCCCACAGTTTCAGTTAAGTTAGTTAGACATATTTCTGCAGTTGTTTAGGGTACAGTCGCACAGAATTTTCCAGCTACAGGGGTTGGAGTCATCGAATCTTTTCTCGAAATGCTCCCACATCCATTGCAGCAACCGTCCTTTGAGCCCTATCGTGTTGGTAAAGTCCACTTTTTGAGGAACCAAATTAGCCAGCCTCTTTGCATGAAACCAGAAATTTTTTTTCGCAAACAAATTTTGCAGGGCGTGTACATTCAAATAAACGAGATCTTGTATTAGCTAGGTCGTTTTTTGGCGGAAAACGGTCAGAAAAATTGAAGTCGTAGTGATTATTGAGGATTTAAGATAGTAGAAGTAAATTATTGAGCTGAATGTACATGGGTAAAGGCAGTTTTCCTAGACGCTGAAGCGACGTTTTGTAATTAGGATCTGTTGCAATCCATTTGAAAGTGTACAAGTATGAATTTGTACAAGTCTGTGAATTTGTACGTGGTCTTCTGTTTTCCAAGGTAGGAAGCTTCAAAATTTTCAGCCTTTGAGGGTAAACTTGGGATGAGTCTGGTTGCCCTTCGCTGAACTGTTCCAATCGCGAATTTGTTTAGGTATATTTTAAACGGTTGATTGGCATATTTTCAGATGGTCTCACCAACGTTTTATAGAGGCTCGCCATGATTGCCTTCGTTAAATTCTACCGAAGTTCTAGTTAAACATAGTATTAGCTAATTTTGTTTTCATGGTAGTGTGTTCAAGAAAAAGTAATCTTGAGTCATAGGTAATTCCCATGTATTTCTCGTTTTCTACATTGCTCAAAGTTGATGTTCCATCCAATGTATATATTTTTTTCTGGCCTTGCTTTTCCTGATAAATCAAGTTTGAGGAATTTCGACAGAATTAACTTCATTTGACTTCTTTTTGACCACGTTGAAAGTCGGTTCAGATCAGTCTGCAGTTCGTCTCTTTCTTCTGTTGTAATTGGTCTGTAAATTTTTGCATCATCGGGAACCTTTTTCAAACTGGATTTTTTTCCAAGAAATATCGGCCTTTAGATTGTCTGCTAATATTTTGTCAGCTTAGTTGTCACATCGTAGAAAGGAGTTTTGTATGCTATTTTCAATGTAATTGCTTCTAGTGTTTTGAAATATAAATTCAATTTACAAATTTAACCTTCACTTCGTATATTTGGCTGTTTTGTTTTCGCTCGAAAACTTCATTCGGCTTTAATGATTTCTGCTTCTATGTTTTCGGCTTAATAAGTTGTGTTCCGTTGCTAATTTTAAATTGAATGTCTTTCTCGGCATAATTCCCTAGAGTTATAATTGGATGAAAACACTTTTTTTTATAGAATTATGGGATTGGATTTTTTCATTTTGTTTTTGGAGACGTTTTGGAAAGTTCTTCATTTTGCAAACGTTTTTTTTTCACAATCGTTTCATCGATTTTCAAAAAATGATATCTTGGGAGAGAACTACTTAATTTTCTGCCTGCATAATCCCCTAGTCTCTTTTTTCTTGACCCATCTGTATACAGCCTTCGAAAAATCTGCGGGGGACTATTTGACCCATCTTTTTGATTTATTTTTTGTTTTCTTGAAACAAACATCCGAAATCTGCGATTGTAGGTTCAATAGAGATCACAGGTAGATGGAAGCCCCTGAGCGTTAGCGGCTACTCTTTTATTAATTTTGAACAAAAAGTAACCATTCTCGGAAAATTCTTTTTTAAGTTGTTTTACTGTTTTTAAACTTTTTGAATTTTGTCGAAAAGTAACCTCCCATATCTTAGATTTTGGGTTCAATCCAAAAAAGGTTGTAGAAATCGCCTCTGCAAATGCGACTCCGCCCAAAAATTTTTTGACACAAACACTGGCCCTCGGAAAAGTCAAAATTTTTGATTTTTGTTTAATTTTTTTTTGGAGAAAATTACAGGTTGCTTGAATCTGTTTTGGATAAACGCTATGCCCAATTTCTTTGTTATAAAAAGCTATGATTTTTGGAAAAGTTAATTTTTGTTCTCTTTCACTGTTGTTTGAAACTATTTGACTTTTATCAAAAATTTATTTTCTGGGTTCAATCGAATTTACAGGCATTGTGAATCTCTGCATAGACAGCTACGCAGAGATTTTTCACAGAAAAGGCTTTGATTCTCGGAAAAATCAAATTTTGTTTCTTTGTGGAGTCAGATTTGTGGCCCTTGAAGTCAGATTTGTGGCATCAAGGTTTGAATTGAATTAACAGGTTGTTGAAAGTCTGCCTTTTTTAATAGGCACTCCAATATTTTTTTTTTGAAAAAGCAATTGCTTTCAAAAAAGTTTCGAAATTTTGACTGTTTTTTGAAAACTTTTGATGTTTTGCAAAAACTACCGTGCCAATTCTCAGGTTGTGGTGAATTCGGTTTTGGGAATTTTGTCTGCGGAAGAGACATTGTATGACTTTTAACTTTTTTGAACTTCTGACCATTTCTTAGAACTTTTTCGGCAAAACTTTTTCACTTTTCTTAAAAACTACCCCATCAAATCTGAGATCGAAAGCTCCATCAAAAGTACTCATTGTGATAATTTTTCTACCGGCCCGGCGACTTATTTTTTTTTCTAATAAGAATTATACGTCCTTGGGAAAATTCCAGTATCTGAAAACTTTTTCAATCAGACTTATTTTAGTAGAGAAACAACAGGTTTTGGGCGAAGTGCTTTTTTAAATGACCCATTTCATACCGCATCAGTAAAGTTAATTCAATAAGTGTCAAAAACGTACCTCCAGCTTTAGCTGGCACTTTATTTTTTGTCGAAACATACGAAATTTTTTATTCACCTCGTATGTTTTCGACTCAGTTTTTCATGTTTGGGTTGTATCGCAAGCGGTGCGCAGCTCCGCTTCGTCTCTGTGTCGGAAAGTATTTCTGAAAATGAACTCACTATACGAGACAAAAGTATGAAGTTTTCATCTAGATATTTTCCGGCTTAATGTTTGTCTGCTTTTGAGTTGCATCGCAAATCTGTCTAATAAATTCGTTTGCAACTCAAATTTGAAAAAAAAAATTTAAGACCAATCTATTTCAATACTGAGTTAATGTTTTAGGAAAATTTCAAATAGATAGGGATCGAATCACAGCTGTACGGTTTCTAATTACACAAGCAGCGCATGTCTTCTGGGCTTGGTGCTTATGTTGCAACATAATTCGCAAAGTTTTGATTTTTTTGGACTGATTTTTTTCCGGATTTTTGGTGAACGTTCTAATTTCTGTCGGCTGATTCTCGGTTGTTTTTTTTCTAAATGCATGTTTTTTATCTGATAAGCTTTTCAAGCTGTTTCTTTTCAAATCTTAGGTTTTTATTTTCGATTCTGAACAGTTTTTACTAAAATTGCAAGTTCTGCAGTTTGTAATTATATCGACCGATTTTAAATAATTTATGTAATTAGTTTTCAGTTAATGGGTTCGGCTTATTCTATATCAGCATAGGTAACCCATGTTGCATAGTTTCACGGGCGAATTTTTGTTCCGGCTATTTGAAAAGGGGATAACTTAGTACTCGGGTGTGCTTTATAGTTTTTTGTTTTCCACGCAAAATCAGCTACCGCAAATATTCATCGAAAAGAGGTGAGTGATTCGGGGTGAATAAAAAAATTGTAGAGCAAAATGTCCCCGTGTCGAGAATTTTTGGTTTTTCGTGTTAATTCGAGCGAATAAAGCGAGCGAGCACGCTTACAATTGCTTACTTTATTGGCTTACAATAGCTTAATTTTAAATATAAATTCAATAGCTTAATCTTAAATGTAAATGTTTTACTCGAATAACGTTAGTTTTTTGAATACTGAAGCGCCTCTTTGGAATTAAATATTCAAAAATTCAAAACACTGAAAAAATATTTGAAAAAGGGTATTGCAATCGGACATTAGACTTTTCCCATAAATAACTTAGGTCACGCACGTGAAAATGTTACACGTGTTTCAACTAGCATCCTTGTAAATTAAATTAAACAATGTAGTAACTGTGACCATGCGGCATATTGTGTTACATTAAGGGTTGACAATGAGTTTTTGTCGGATTCCGAATTTTTTGGTACATTTTCGGCTTTAAGATCGGTGAGCTTCAATTCCGGTAGGCTTATTTTCCTTTTTTTTTCGAATAATTTTCTTTGGAATTATCTGGGATTGATTGAATTTTTTAAATGAAATTATTCAAGAAACTCACCTCCTAGAATCTTTGAAAAAAGTGAAAAAAAGTTAAACATTAATTTTTTTTTTATTTTTTTTTGTTTTTCAGTTCAATTCACAAAATTGGTTCTAAAATTTTTTTATTTTGATTGTAAGATAGGCTGTGTCAATAGAATTTTTTGTGCAGATAAAATGGCTCATTAGTTCGTGCACATTTTTTGATCAGCTTTTTTTGGAATTTTTTGATATTTGATTTTTAGATTTTTTTTTCGTTAGATTCTAGCCTATTATGTTTTTACATTTAGCCATTTTATTTGAAAAATAAAAACCAAGCAAGCCTACCAAACACGGATCATATCAACTCAAAGTTTTCAGTAATTTTGTTCAAAATTGCTAGACGATTTTGTTGTTTTT